TTTTTTTCACACTTTGTTTTCATCTTATTTTTGCGCCTCATAACGTATTCAAAATCAAATTGGTTTTTGCCCATCATTTGGCCAACACCAAAAACTTGTACTTTCCATTTCGGGAACAGAGAGAGTGGCTGTGGCAGTGGCTGTAGCCGTGGCAGAGGCAGGAAAATTGAAAATAAAAAATTATTTTTCGCACAATAAAACACTGAAAGCGAACCCTAAACCCTAACCGATGTTTTTTTTTTTGTGTTCTGTGAATAGTTTCACAGCTTTCTGAATGGGTTGCATAGAGAGTCTGGAAGGGGATGGGAATTGGTTGCGCCTGAATTGGCGTGCAATTGCCACGCCCCCTGCATGCGATTGGGCTTGTGTGTGGGGATGGGGGATTTTGGCGATGGTCAATTTGAAACAATGTTTTCTCGCTTGTTGTGCGTTTGATTTTATTTGATGTGCGCCCCTGTTATTTTCCTTATGCGACCCTTTTTCCGCTTTTCCTTTTACCCTCGAATTGCATTGGGGCGGCTGCTGTTGGTGGGGGAGGTGGCATTATCCGCTGTTCAATGGCACGCAAATGATTTGAGAATTGACCAATGTGTATTTTACATATGCTTGACATGAGATGGCTTAAGCTGCTATAGGAATCGCTATACATATTCTTTACATCCTGATCTGAATAAACAAACCGCTACCCGTTAAAAATGCCTAAAAATTACCAGACTTTATACAATTTTCAAAAAAAGTTCTGGCATAAATTGTCATCAGACTCTTTTTAAGCCCCATATCTTTCATAAAAAGTGTGTTTCTGACTCGTGTCGGATAGTGATACCGGTTATAAAATTTGTGACACCTACGAAGCGTCCCACATTTCACAGAAATTGGTGGCATTATCCGCTGTTCAATGGCACGCAAATGATTTGAGAATTGACCAATGTGTATTTTACATATGCTTGACATGAGATGGGTTAAGCTGCTATAGGAATCGCTATACATATTTTTCCATTTACATTACATTTCCATTTTTTACATTTAAGTCAGGATCAGGATCCCTTGGATATATTATGTATGCATAAGAATTATTATGAGAGTCCCATGAGTGTGTGACACACAAACTTACTCAGAAACCTAGAAGAAAATGGTTTTTCGATGTACATACATATGTATGCATTTACGTATGTATCTATATACAGTCGTGTTCAATGAAATAGTAGTGCCGCATCCACCACACATTCAAAGACATTTTTGAGAGACTTCCTGACTTTCAAATTCAACAAGTGATACCTTTTTGAATAGAATGGAATGCATGGAGGCTTTAGAACACTAAACATCCCTACACATTTGCTTACAATTCCTTATAATGCAATTGAAAACTAAGTTGAATGTGCTCTTACTATTGTAATTAACCATTTTGCTAGAAGAAGAACAAAGAAAATTTACCTTTTATGTGAAAAACGTATATTTTAGAGGTTGGTCGAAGATGGTCGAAGGCAAGGTCAAGGTCTTCAATATCCTCAAAAATTATGAAAACAATTTTATATCCCTCTGTAAGTATTTTAACAGTTAGTATACTGACTAGACATTATTTAATTGCAAGAAGTCCGAGAAAGCTACGCGTTGGGTCTGAGAGTATATGGGTACAGCTAAAGTTTGCAAGAAAGCATGTGGCTGAGCTGTGTCACAGTGACAAAAAACGGTATTGGGAATGTTGGGCATTATGAGTTCCAGTGCATATAAAGTGGTACTTCCTAGCCTCCTAGTTGGTGCATTTCACAAAATTGTGTAGGGGCTAGCATACGCTTTCATACATTACATTCATATTCCAATTGGAAAAAATCTTTAGAAAGGATCTTTCAACAAGATAATGATACGAAATACTCCAGAAAGCTCGGCAGAAATTGTTCAAATCAGACCCTAGATCTGAATGTCATCAAAATCTTATGGGGGAATGCCAAAAGCATTATTATAAATGAAATTCCGGGAACCAGCGCAAAGTGAGAGGCAGGGGTTCAAAAAATATTGGCTAAAGTCCGATTGAAGCTTGGGCAGGACCTTATTGATTTATTCCAGGCTGGAGTAAGAAAGTAAATAAATCAAAATTGATAAAAAAGGAAATATTAAACCTCATGAAACATGTAGAGCCTGAGAAATGGGTAACTTTAGTTTCGTGTTGGAGTGAGAAGTGTTGTAGATGTTGATGAAAGATGAAGAAAAAATGTAAAATTTGACAAAAAACCGCTAAGGTATTGAGTACCAGGTATAAATGTAGTGACGCGTAAGAAGCGTCTCACACGTCCCGTTGAATTTTAAAGCTTTATATTTCCCAGACGGTACGATAAAACCACTATTTGTTTTCGTTTATTTTTGAGCTGCATCAATCAGCTATTAAAAAAAAAACAAAGTTTTTTACATCCTGATCTGAATAAACAAACCGCTACCCGTTAAAAATGCTTAAAAATTACCAGACTTTATAAATTCTTCAAAAAAAGTTCTGGCATAAATTGTCATCAGACTCTTTTTAAGCCCCATATCTTTCATAAAAAGTGTGTTTCTGACTCGTGTCGGATAGTGATACCGGTTATAAAATTTGTGACACCTACGAAGCGTCTCACACCTCCCACATTTCACAGAAATTTTTATTTTTCGCGGTGCTGGATACCCGACTTATAAATATAAATACTCTCTTTAAATTGTTAAGTTATACTTAATTTCTACATCTATTGTTCCATACCTCTCTTTAAGTTATTTCATTAAATGTATTATTAAACTTTATAGAACAAATTTACTATTTCTCTCATTAAATTCTGCTAATCAGTCGATACTATTCCTTAGACAAACCATTCGCCACTCTTCTGGGTACTCACTCTCAGCTCATATTCTCTACCTTTACAGAAATCTTCAAGTTTCCTTCGTCTTCTCATTTAGAGTTCTTCATGTGCCTTGGCCTGTCATCATCTAAATTTTCATTGTCCTTTTGTGGGTGCTTTTCTTTCGCTTTCCCCTTCTCTCTGTGTGCCAGTTTCCCCAGCAGCCACATTTCTTTTGCTTTTGCGTTGCTGATGCGGTATTTGACTAACTGGCTGACGTGTTTTCCTCACACTGGCAATAACATAAAATTTTACTATTATGCGTTTTAGCTGCTCTCCAGCATTTTAATACAATATTTTTTTTTTGTTCGTTTACTTCTTTCTCCAAGTAGATGTCCTTCGGGTGCGTCAAGTGTTAGAGAGAAAGAGAATTCATGAACATGCAATGCCTTGCGACGCCAGCGTCTGAAGGAAATTTGCATTCAAATGTGTTTCGCTTTAGCTGCGAGAAACCCCCGAATCGTATAGTATGCCATCTCCAGCTCTGGGTTGGGCAAAAAAAGTTCCACCGTGCAGCAGCAACGGCAGCCAATTCCCCTGAGCAGCATATGTTCGACGTGCAGATGGGGAATGAGGCGGGCGGTATGTAGGGCATTGCAGAGGCAGATTTTTGATGAAATTTCAAAACATTTCCCACTTAGCAGGAAAATGACTGACATTAAATTGATTTGCAAGCCAGCGACATGACGAACGAAACAAACTGAACAAAATTTCGTATCAAAAAGGAGGAAGGGGAAAGGGAGCATTTCTTTTAGCGAAAAATCAAAATTCCAGGCACACTTGAGCATTGCATTTAGAGCAATAGAAGGGGTAGAGAGGAATAGCGGGGGGTATTATAGCGGGGGGTGTGTGTTTGTCTGTGTGGAAGATTGGAAAATATGCGGGATTTTCCCGGACTCCAAGGCTCCTTTGTTCCCTCGCTCTCATTGGGCTCTTGGGTGGTAATACAAATTTAAAGTTATGATCTGTGCTGTACCTATCGCTCTCTTTCTCCTCCTCTCATTTATTCATTCATTCATTTCGTCAGTCAAATTGTTTTTTCTGTTTTTCTTTCGCATTTGAGAAATGAATAAAATAAAATTATATTTTATGTGTGCAACATGTAAAATAATTCTCATCGGGTGAATGTGAATGCCACTCCCCACTTGATATCGACCCAAACCGAACATTTATGCAACATTTGCTGCCTCATTAAATTTGATGGGAAATAATATTCATACGAGAGTATTAGATCTAAATGATGTTTTCGAGTTTGTTATGGCCATATATTTACCGTAAAATAATATTTAATTTCTATAAAATAAGACATGTTAAATTTAGACAGAAAAGAAAATCGATTATTCATAATGCGACTAAGCCAATAGTCAATAAAATATAAAAGAAAACTGATGATTAAATTGAAGGCATATTTTCTGCTCAATATGCGATGGCACGTAGTAATTGTGGCATTATCCACAATTTTGGCAGAGTGTAAGAACCAAAACACTACTAGCAAATCAAAGGTATATCAAAGGCAAGAGCATAACTTTCAATAAACTAACGCCTATCTAATAATACACATCTCTATGGATAACATATTGATTTGTGGGTGTGCAATATCTATAAGAACACAACTGTAGGATCCAACCAATGCGATACAGTAGACGTCCACTCACTTTCAGTAACATTTTTACACTCCCTTGAGTCTTTATCCCATACATATGAATTCTCTGGGACTCTCTCTTCATTATAATTATTGACTGTCATTAGCTCCTTATGATAATTAATCAGTAATTGTCAAAAACTATATATACTTTTGATATATAATTGATTCATTATGGGCATTCGATTTTTGTTTCGTTGAGCTGAGGTGTGTCAGCGGTCATCAAATTAACGTTTTGGTCAGTTTCAATTTATAGTCATTAAAGATCATAATAGAAGTGTGTGAAAAAGACTTACTGTTTTTTTGTGAATCAATCAAAGAACTATTTAAGGAATTTCAATAACTTTTTCCATCGTTTTTATACCCGGTACTCGAAGTGTTAAAAGGGTATATTGAATTTGTGCGCGAAAGGCGAAGTCTGTACCGCACAGATCGAAACGTTTCCGAACCTATGAAGTATATATGTATGCACATATATCTGTTTGATCAGAGTTAAAAGGGAATATTGAATTTGTGCGCGAAAGGCGAAGTTTATAACGCACAGAACGAAACGTTTCCGAACCCATAAAGTATATATGTACATATATCTGTTTGATCAGCATCAAGAGCCGAGTCCATATAGCCATGTCTGTGTTTCCATCCGTCTTTATGAGCGCCTGAATATCAGAGAATATACAAGCTACAGAATAACATTTTTTATTGAGATGGCTGTAATATCACACTGTTACATGAGTATTTTAAAAATGAGCAAAAATTAACCATATCTATAAGATTACCGATTGGTAAGAGATTTGATCATTATTATGGCCGGAATGATTAAAATAATTTGCAGTGCCTACGCACATCCCGTCCAGCAGCATTGTTTATTTTTTGAGCATTCTCTCATTCCACACTCTGCTTTATGCAGTGTGCGGCTTTAGGGGAGGGGCGTGTTGGTGTAAGAAGTGACATAGAACAAATTTTAAATTAAAAAAATACAGATATACTGACTGAGTACCGGATTTAAAAGTTGTGACACATACGAAATGGTACTTGAAGACGAAAATATTGTAGAAGGAAACGTTTCCGACCCCAAATAGTATATATATTCTTGATCACCATCAACTGCCAAGTCGATATAGCCATGTCTGTCTGTACTTCCGTCCGTCCGTCTTGTTAAGCGCCTGGATCTCAGAGACTATAAAATCTAGAGCCACAAGATTTTGCATCCAGATGGCTACCACGCAATGGGCGAGAATCTGCGGTACCCACAGTTTTGAAAATAAAAGATAAAACTAAAAACGTCATCACTGAATTGGGATCAGATTGGATCATTATTATAGCCAGAATAAATATATTAATTTCCAATGGCTACCACCACCCCGTCCAGCAGCAAATTCTCTCATTCCACACTCTGCAGTGTGCGGCACTCTTTTAGCTCGCCACCCTCCCATAGAGCCATACGCAGAGTCACGGCAGAGGCAGAGACGCGGCAGAGGCATAGTCCGCACTCTGCAGAAGCAGAGTGTTAATGAGAGATTGTGCATAAAACAAATAAAAGCTGCGGGGCTGGGTAGGTTTAGCCACTGCAAATTAATTTCTTCATTCCGGCTATAAAAATGAACCAATCGGATCTCAATTTGGTGATCTGATAGATATGGTCATTCCCTACGGAATTGTAGCGTTGGGAGGTTTTCGCCCTTTTGCGGGGGCGGAAGGGGTGGGGCTCATTTTTAAAAAACAATTGTATTAGTGTGAGCATACAGAAGTCTGGATACAAAATTTGGGTCTCTGAGTACTAGGCGATCATCAGGACGGACAGACAGACACAACGTCTCCTTCTGTGCGTTACAAACATCCGTTATTCCCCACAGATACAGTATATTGTACTGTATATGGTACTCTTCGAGTACCGGGTATAAATACCCAAATAATAACAGAAATGAGCTCCACAAAATAGGGCTAAGTCAATTTTGCGTTGAGCTATCAATCACCACAAAAAAAAAGCAAAAGCAGCAACAGTTTCTGTGATGTTTCCAAACTGATGGATGGCTGATTGATCGATCGAATGTCAGGGAGCCTACAACGACTGATTACCCCACGAAAGGGTAACCGCTAAGAGGCTGGCAAAGGGTGTTAGGGGGTGCGGAGTATGGCACAGCAAGTGTGCTGCGTCACGCAATGCCGCAAGAGAGTCAGTCAGCCAGGGAGTCAGTCGGGGAGTCATTCAGTCAATCAGTGAGTGAGTCAGTCAGTCCCGGCATTCAGATTACCCACGTAGTTAGTCATTTGGACATCCGCCAGAGCTCTTTTGTTAGATTGATGGATGATGACGATTTCTGGACTAGGCGCACAGCAGACAGAGAGAGAGATTGAGATAGCCTCCAACATAAAGTGGGTCGCCCCCAAAAACAGCCAGAGGCAGTGCGTCAATGCTAGGCATGTGGTGCAGTTATTATGTGATTGATAGAACCGCAATGTGGTGGGAATCGTTGGGAGAAAAAAGAGGCAAAAGAAGCAGTGAAATTTAGAGCAGAAATATACAGACTTGCCTTCGATTTTAGATTTTAAATATTTCTAATGAACAATCATTTAAAATCCCTTCAGATGTTCATCAACACTTGTGGCCATTAACCAACACTATATAACAGTGTGACTTTTACCATTTTTTTCTTAGCCTACACATTCTTCTCTCTGCTTCTCCTTCTCTGTTGATGCATGTATCGTCTAATACCTGATAAATCTGTCAGTTTAATGTTTAAATTGAAATCTCTCACCACGGTGCCTGCTACAGAGGCTTCAAGTGCCCCCTGCCCATGCCCCTAAATCTCACTGACTGCCCTCTCATTGCCACGCGACGGGGAATGAAAAATAAAAACTCAACGCTCGACCAATCGGAAGAAAAAGTACAGAAAATCCCATGACAAGAGTGAAAACAAACAAACACAACAAATCCGATGCGATCCGTTTGGATTCAACAGAATGCATTTGCCTTTGGCCGCGAAAAAGAGAAGATACAAGTTAGATAATTTGTATCTCAACATTGTTGTCAGGTGGCAAGTGTTGACTGACAGATGTTTTGCCCCATTTTTATGTGCGAGTGCCAAAGTGTACCTGGTATCCGGCAGCTAAAAAATGTTCTCAAATCAAAACAAGGACAGGAAAGACAATAACCTCAAGCAGACATTTTTGATACTTTTAGATGGTGATTTTTAGTAGGCAATAAATGAATTTTAAACATGTTTATTTATTATTTACCCTTTTGTTTTCGATCCGAAATATATTTTTTTCGTGGCTCTTGTTGTCTCCTCCCAAAATACATGTACCCCTTAGTTTAGTGCCCCACAAATATTAAAAAAACGAGAAGGGACGTGTGAGATGCTTCTTACGCGTCACAACTTGTATACCCGGCACTCAGTACTACATCACCTTAGCGGTGTTTTGTCAAATTTTAAATATTTTCTTCATCTGTCATCTACATCTACAACACTTCTCACACTAACACGCTCCGTTAGCTCGCCGCCCTTCCCTAGACCCACACACTGCAGACTCGCGGCAGAGGCAACAGAAGAGCCAACAGTGGCCCGCACACAAAAAAAACGAATATAAGCTGTGGGACGGGGTGGGTTAAAAGTCGGCAGAGGCAGAGTCAGGGGACGGAAGAGACAGGGGCCGAGTGAAGCAGAAGCAGAGTGTGAATGAGAGAATGTGAAAAGAACAACAAAAGCTGCAGGACAGGGTGGGTTTGGCCACTGCAAATTAATTTCTTCATTCTGGCTATGATAATGATCCAATCGGATTCCTGATAGATAGGGCCATTCCCTATGGCATGGCGTTTTTAGTATTCTGTTATCTTCAAAATTGTAGATTTGGGAGGTTTTCGCCCTTTTGCGGGGGCGGAAGGGGGCGTGGCTCATTTTTTAAATACACTTGTAACAGTGTGAGCATACAGAAGTCTGGATGCAAAATTTGGTGGCTCTAGCTTTAATGGTCTCTGAGATCCAGGCGCTCAACAAGACAGACGGACAGACGGACGGACAGACAGACATGGCTCAATCGACTCGGCTATTGATGCTGATCAAGAAAATATATACTTTATGGGGTCGGAAACGTTTCCTTCTGGGTGTTACATACTTTGTTACACACTTTGTGCACAAATACAATATACACTATTTACTCTTCGAGTACCGGGTATAAAAAAACCTAAGCAGCCAATTGGTTGGCTAGCCAGCAAAATCAGTGAAAGATTTATGAGCAATGCTTCTGGTATTTATGGACCTACTCTTAAATTTTTTTACAGGGCACACAGGGGCATTCCTCTTTACCATTAAAAGCGCATAAAACATGAGGGGAGCAAACCCAACATTATGCTTCATGTTTGTTTCTTTTTGCAAAAGCTACAACAAATAAATACAAGATGAAAAATTACCTAAACAGAAATAGAGTGAGAGAACGAAGACCTTTGGTGGATGTATAATTATATTTTGTTGTACCAATTAACGCAAACGAAATGGTGGAACACCCATTGTGTAGGGCAACCAATTGAAAGCCAATTCGAAACATTGGACATGAATTTGGAGGTTTCCTTGACTTTGCATTTAATTCTTTGCTTAAATGTAAAATGGATATGTTTATCGATTGATTTGCCAAGAGATTAATTGGTTTTAGAAAGGCTTTTCGATTATTTTTGTTTAACGGAAGACCATAAATCGTAAAATGAATGTTTTTGGAGTAAGTATATATAAAGAGAATTCCTTAAACAATCTTTAAAAACAGCCACAAATAACCCGGTAATAAACTAATTGATTTGTTAATACATACATCCGACTGCAATTGTTCTCTAAAAATCAATTGATCAATGGCAGTATCGAGGAACCCACGGCAGAAAGAAACCTTAAAACAATAACCCGCCTCCGATTCCCCCATTCGTCACTTCAGAAGACAGTTTATTTTTGTAATTCCCGTTCGCACTACTTCGTGGCTCCTTTTGTTGAGACATCAATCAAGTGAGTGGGTGGATAATGGGCGGCGTTACTTCGAAAGACCAAACGCGACACACGTTGGTCAATCAATTTTCCACGTAAGCAAAAACTTAAGCTCAAGAAAAATTGGTGTTGCTTGAGCGATCGCATGGTGATCCATCTATCATCTATCATCTATCATAATGCGGTTTAGGCCCAAAATTGAGAATTAATCCGTCAAAACTGTGGTAAATGGTGGGCACGACTGTTGCCAAATTCACAATCGATCAATGGGCATTTTTTACTGGCGGTAACGGTGCCTTTTTTTATTTACTTTGGAGACGGTCAGCAGATCTATGTGTCGCCGAAACTTGCAAGACCTCGGACATTGGTCAGAAAACAGTCCGAAAATTAAGTGATTTAAACGCTAAGACCATTGATGGATGGAGCCACAGAGACCACCGGACGCTCTAGACAATCGGACTTTGGTGGTGCGAGGTATGTGTACTTATTGTTTGAGTAGTATCTTTTATCTTTTATCAATTTCAAAGAGGCAGCGCCCACACAATCGTAGCAATTAGCCAGTCAGGGCAGTCACGGCGGACAACCGTTGATCAAAGGGTTCTCTGCCGCATTTCAACTTTGATGCTATGCCGGACCGCCTGGCGCCCTGTCCCCACCTCCAAGCCCCAGACCCCACCCATAACGCACAATCCAGAGGCATACTGGTGAACCACTCATGTGTGTGCGTCGTCGTGTGCCGCATAATCCGATGTATATTTTCAGGAGATCTCTTCTCTTTGTGTGTGTATGTCTGAGTGTGGATTTGCATCTGGCGCAATTAGCATTTTGACCAGAAAAGCCAAAAAAAAACGGCAACTCGAAAAATACCCACACAAAATTGCAGCAAACAGTCAGAAGAACAAAAAGAAAGGTTTTATAGGGATACCGAAGCAGGAGATACACTTAAAGAGCGATAATTTCATCAGCAGATAGATGAAAAAATGGGAGATGTTGGGAAGTCTTACAAGGAATAAACAGATAAATTCTACGAAAGATTTGGTTGGAATATATGTACATAAGTCAAACGTAGAAAAGTACATATTCGATTTATATACATATGTATTTACATATATATGTACATACATGTTTGCCAGCGTTTTTTTTTTTAAATAATATATTTAAAATCTCTTTCCTGATCTCAGGGGTCCATGAAGTTTCATTTAGTTACATTCAAAAAACGGAACTTTTTCATTAAAAATCCTATTCTATCCTAATTTATGAGATAGGTATACATATGTATATATGTAGGATTTCTGCGGCTTAATGGCTATTAAGATCATCAAATGATCAAGTATTTTTACATAGCATAGCAAACCTCTTTGCAATATCGTAGTAGCCTTGCTTAAAAAAAGTTTACTAGCACAAACAACAACCGTTGACGTCATAATTATGGCTGTGTCGGAGCACTACTTCATAGTTGTTTAACCCACTCCCGACTCTCCCTCCATCCATCTCTTTCCTTCTGCTCCCTTTGTTTTTATCGCTCTGTCGATTATTGGCGGTGCTAGGCGTTGATTTAAAATAAACAAAACTTCCCTGTTCCCCCAACCCCACACCCCTACCCTACCCGATCGCAGTTATTGTTGTGTTTGCGGCTTGATGGCAGTGGTGTCAAAATTGAACAACCACAATATCTGAGTTATTATAGCAGCATACTTTTCGACATCAACATCGGCATAAGCACAGTGCGAGTAGATTGTGAAAAACATAATGTGCGGAAATCGGAGGGGGAGACATGGGGGAAACATGGACTTTGTTATGCGATAATGTATGCTAGATACTGAAGCTCCCAAGTGGGAAATTTTCATAAACTGCGATGCGTTCTATAGATGTTAAATATAATTTGAGGATATACTTTTAATGACCCCTACACCCTTGGGATAATAATAATTGTTAAACCATGTCCAAGTGTTAGTGAACTTTAAAACCACATAAAATATCTCACCAACATTTGATAAAGTCATAAAACTTTGACCATACTGGAATTCTAATTCCAAAAAAACTTGAAGAAATTTCAATGCCCAACAACAACATGCACATCGAGAACAAACTATCTTAGAATATTTGATAGACTAAATCGTTGCTGAAGATCATAACATTTTTTATTGGCTTTTGGTAACCGACTATTTTTACAGAATTTAAGCGGGGCGGGAAAGGAGCAACAATCATAAAGCAGAACACTAAATAAAATCATTTCAAAATTGTTTGGTTTTTGTTTTAGTCCCGCTCATAATGAACATGATCGTTAAAGTCAGAGTTACATGGCCACAGGTATATGGCATGGGGCACAGCACGTCCATTTTTTTTTTAGTGTATCAGCCAGATGAAATGGTTGGGGGCTTTGATAAAATGTTAAACATATTGGAGACCCTGCAAGATTTTACGACCGCACTAAACACGATCATCGCACAGCAGACATCGTAAGGGGAAATACTTTCCCAAGACTTTCACATAAATATCGAAACCGAACTGCAGCCAAATCCAACAGAAGAGAGAACCAGAGAACTCGAGCGAAGGGACAACCGAAAGTGACGAGCGATTGCCGCCTGCAAGTGTCAATATAAAGTAACAACTTTATTGAACATTATTTATTCGAGAGCGACCCAATAAAATGGGCAACTTTATAATGATGCACATAAATAACACTGTGCGCTGCCATTCCAAGAACAAAGCCTCAAAAGCCAGCAAAGCAGCAAGACAAAAAGGGAGCCTCAATCCCGGAAAAGAGCCCCAGAGGAGTATGACAGTCAAAGAACCACAACATCATGTCAAAGATGTATGGCATTGGGGATGTTGATCTGGATGCTGATTGTTCAGGTGGAGGTCGGCAGACTGAGGTGATTACATTAACATTAATTAAAATTACAATAACTAATTGTGCTAGAGAGTGAGGACATAAAAGGAGACTGGTTAGGAATGGTTTAAGAGCATTTACATAATTTAGTATTTGTGCTTTATTTTGTATTTTGTCGCTTTACAACACTTTTTTACCTTATTTTGTGAGTCTAAGTTCCGCAGGTTTAAATAAACATAGACTTATACCCCGAGGAAGCCAAGAAACAGCGCAAGAACTTGAGGCTATTCAGAAAAAATAAAGAAAATTTATTTTAATTTTCATTCTCAACCCATTCTCCTCCATGTGCTACTTTCTTCCACTAAAAAGTGACTCAGCAGCCGTCCCTCAATATGGAATGTCCATTTTCCGACTGTGGTTTGCTGTGCCTTAAAGTATGACAACAATACTGAACCGGCTTTACATTTAGTCCGATCTCGAAATCGTTTGCATTAAATTAAGATTGTTTATTGGTCCAGGCAGAATTCCACTGACTTCCCCGTGAGGGAGCACCCTTCCTCCAGCCAAAAATCGATGCGAAAAGGTCGTAAAGTCTGGTCCAGGCTTTCGAGACCAAAACTATAAAAATTGAAAATATCCTAAATCCCTTTTTTCCCCTTTTTTCCCCCTTTTTTCACTCTGGGCTTCCGCTTAAATTATTGTTTCGCCTGTCAACTGATCCGCAGAGCTTCACAGTACCGCTCATAATTTTAAAGCTCAGTGGATATTTTGTTTTATATAGGCTTTTAACTCTTTTTGGTTAACATTTTGCATGCTGCACGACCTTAAAGCCAGGGGCATAATATGCGAATAATTAATTTGTTCACGTCGATGTTTGTCGTAGTTTTTGTGGCTACATTTTGCAATCATTTTTTGGGTTAATTGAGAGTGTAACATATTACAAATATATTTTACATGGGGCTTATACACTGCCAAAATTATGTGTGGACTCTCCTGTCCTTTCCTTTCCTTAAGCAAACCAATTAATTAATACCACAGTTCCCTTTCAGCATTTGCCCCACATTTAATGCTTGATTCCTTCTCGAATTCATCTGACCAACCATGAGCAACTATTTCAGAGACCCATAAAACACGATACTTGGAACAAATTTCTATTTAATTATCACCATTTATGCGATACTTTAGGTTTATCTTTTTTTCTTCTCTTTTTTAATTTCTAGATAGAAATTAATGTCCATCCATTTAAACTAAAATACATTTTGTGACCAAAATGAGAAAAATATATATAGAGGTAGGTATTTTACTGATCTTTTGTTAAGTGTTTATAATATGTCGGTGTGTGTGGTTTAATTAATGCCACCGATCGAAATTCGAAACGAAATTAAATCTTTGCGATTTTTGTCATAATTTGAATAAATGTTTTACGATCGAAACCAGATTTCGTTTTCGATACGATTTCTAGATGACATCGAGTGAATCCGTCCGTAGCGGATTTGTTTTGGGGGAGAGCTTTTGGGAGCCGGAATGATAAATCTGTGAAATTTTTTCCATGGCTCTCTGAGTGGCGCCATAAACTTCACATTTATAATTAACAACTTCTTACATTTTTGTTTGCTTCGCTTCTCTACTATGCTGTTGGATTTCTTGATATTCATATATTGATGCTTATTTTGTATGTTTTGTGCCTCTCAGTTTTATGAGTTTTTGTTAATTGTAATTTATTTGATTGATCCATCGAATGAATAAATATCAATCGCAGACGAGTTTTGTGCACAAATTGGGAATGGATTTTAGCTAAATAATAAAAGCGAAAAGAGTGCCTGCCCCCACGTGTGCTTAACGCTTTATGGGAACCAAAAAATATGTATATTTATTTTTGTGGAGCTCAGCGAAATAATGCATCAGCATGTAGATTTACGGTTGGTATATGAATCAAAATTTCGACGATGTGGGGTACGGGTTAATCCCTTGGCTTCATGAAATCTGCCATTAAAAATAAATCCAAGGCAGTGCTACGATCAAAATCTTTAAGCAGATCGTTCGAAATATGGTTTTTTTCTGGTTTTCTCTGGTTCGAAATATGGTTGGAACGGAAGCGTTCACCAAAGATTCTCTTTAATAATACGTTTTGTTCTCGATTCTCGCGCTTCTCCTTTCTGTATAATCTTCTTTTTTTGTATTTTAAACTTTTATGTATTTTGGAATATGTTTGATAAGTTTTTAAGCTTTTTGATTGTCGGTGTTCTCACATCAATTTTAAAAAGAGTGTAATTTGTATTCACTATTTTTTGTTTATTTTTGGTGTAAAGGAAAAGCTGCATTTAAAGCGAGAAGGGACGTATGAGACGCTTATGGTAATGTTAATTTTACATTTAACATTTTAAATTTTTTCTACATCTGTCATCTACATCTACATACATCACCTCTAACGCCAAAACATTTTTTTAGCCACTCTGCCGCACACTACAAGAAGCAGAGTGTGAATGCGGGAATGTGCAAAAAATAAAAATAAAGTGCAGGGCGGGTTGGGTTTAGCCACAGCAATTACAATTCCAAATCCCAATTCGGTAATCTTATAGATATAGTCCTCCCCTACAGAATGGCGTTTTTAGTTTCCTTTATCTTTAAAATCATGGATGTGGGAGATTTTCGCCCTTTGTGGGAGCTGAAAAGGACGGGGCTCATTTTTGAAACACATTTGTAACAGTGTGAGCATACAGATAACTGGATGAAAAACTTGGTTGCCCTATCTCTCATGGTCTCTGAGTACTAAGCGCTCATAAGGACGGACAGACGGACTGACAGACGGACGGACAGACAGACATGACTCTATCGACTCGGCTATTGATGCTGATCAAGAATATATGTATGTACTTTATAGGGTCGGAAATGCTTCCTTCTGTGCGTTGCATACAATATCCCCTATTTACTCTTCGAGTACCGGGTATAATTATGGATGAAGGTTTAACGCCGTTTCTCAGGTTTCCTTCACGACTTACCCCTTTTCCTGATGTTCGGAAAACTTAACACAATTTCATCACAAACAATATTTATACACCGCAGCAATCATCATAATTCTTTACTAATCAAACCCTCCCTTTGGTGAACGAAGGAGGGAATGCTCGTAGATGCCTGCGTATCCAGCGGATACCTTTAGCATCAAATCGACGAGAAATTCCAAATTATAATTTATCAAACGGAATTTTACGATTCAACGAATAAAAAAATTGATGTTCTGCGACCGGAGGCGATAGAGCGAGGAAGAAGACCATCCACGCGGAGAGATCGCTCTGTCAAAGTGGCATAAGAAGCAGAAATATTAAATAAAAAACAAAAAAAAAAATGACCAAATCAAATTATAGAATCGTAAAAGTATTTATTACCACCAGGGACCTCATCAGTGGGGGCTCTCTCTGCCTCTCTTTCAGGGGTGTTGGCGGCGACAGACAGCAGGAGAGAACCATCAGAAGCAGTGGCCTGTCCTCTCATTCTTTTGCTCTAGCCTCCTCTCTTTCTGTCAATTGATTTGATTATTATCGGTTAATTGGTAAATCGTAAAAACTTTTACGATTCATTCGCTTCCTCAGCCGTGGAGGGCATTAAGTGGGACCAATGCTGGGGCCTAGCTACGTTTTGGGATCAACAAGTGCAGTCAGAAAGACTGCCTGGACTCCTTCTCAACCAATAAAATGACACGGGACAAGCACTGCACACACGAGATGGTTGTCCACCATTTTTCACTCATCGCCGATGTCGTCGCGCGATGACATCCATTTTATGGTTCTCCAGCCATTCGTCAAGCAAGGCAGATCACCTCTTTGGATGGCTTTACAGCAGGCAACCAGAAATTTAAAGCTTTTCAAGCAGTTCTCTTTTAATGGATAATAATTGTGTAATTATGGAAGGTATCTGGGAGGATGTGGTGTTGAGTATAGACGAGAAAAATACCCATTAGAGTAAATTCAATTAGAATGGTTTAAAATGTTTTTTAGTTTAATAGCGAAATACGTACTTTGTTTAAATTGACTTCATAGATTACATCTATTAATACCCTCAGTCATGCTTTCTTCATAAAAATATACATACATTCAAATGTACATACATGCATATGTACATATACATACATATCTCTCCCTTGAGTTTCAAGTTCAAAAGTTTCTCATCATAATTTCAACAGTAAAATTCTGTTTTTTTCGCATTCCAATGCCTATTTCTTAATCCCTTTCATAAAACATATTCAACGCATAAATTCAAACAAAATTTTGTCATTAATCACATTAGCAAATTTTGAAAACAAAAATTGTGCCCATTCGAATCCATCTTGAAGTCGTAAAAATGTAACATTTTACAGATTTTCCCACTCAAAAGAAAATGGTACCCCATTCCACCCAAGTCCAAGTGTCGCTAATTTAATTGTTTTTCCAGCCAGAATAAAAAAAGGAAAAACTAATTTTTTTCCATCCAAGTGCAGCGCGACGCACTCACCAAAAAAACCCACCCCCAACCCTTGTCATAACGGGGCGGGCAACAGCACCACCGCCACCCCTTGAGCAACGACGACGACGGAAGGGAGACAAAAGAAGAGTGCAGTGAAAGAAAAAAAAACAAAATAAAGAGTGACAAGGGATGAGGATGGGGGATGACAATCAACAGAAAAATATGCAGAAGGAGCTGCTGCCGCCAGTCCTATCCCAGAAGAGAACAACATACAGCAAACGAGAGAGACAGAGCGAAAGAGAGGGCAAGTCACGCTTAAAATTGACGAGGACGAAAAGCTCAAAAGCAACAACGTGGATGCTGCTCCCTCGGCCCACAGTACCGTCTTTCTCTCTGACTACCTACCGCTTCTATTACCGCTATTTATTTAGCTGTTTTACATTGTCATTCCCTCTGCACACCCATACACACAGAGTCACACAGAGAAGCACCCGCGCATTGCAAAAATAAGCAGCAGAAGAAGAAGAAGCAAAACGAATGTCAGAAAGAGAGACAAAATGTCGAAAGCGCGACGTCGCACCAACAAATTAGAACGAGAGACACCTACACAAACACACCCACATATATACATCGAGTCTATGTATTGTACAACTCTAAATGTGTTGGAGCATGGGCTGAGGGAAGTGGGAGGTGTGAGCAGGCCAGCGCATGCGAGCCAGAAAATTTGTTTTGAACTGTCATAAATCTTAATTGCGGCGGAGTGATGGAATCAGAATCGTTGGGTATTTGAAAGGAAAGGGTGATACGAAAGAGCGGGCATTCTGACGAAAGGTGGCAAAACAGATTTCACACGAACACACGCAGACAGCCTTGCTCTCTGAGAGAGCCGAGCCTGCTATTTCCCCTGCGTTCCATTCCCATTCATTCGTGAAGATTTATCACCATTCCCAATTGGTGCGAAGGGGAAACTGATATTGCTGGTGCGCATGAATCTCGCTTGCATGTGCGCTCAGCCAACTGCTGACTCTCCCTCTCTCCATCTCTCTCTACCACTAGCGAGAGCGAAAATCAAGCAACTTTTGTAGTTGTTCTTCAGTCCACAACGGACCGTTACAGCGTGATCATGTTTGAAAAGCTTTGCGCGCGTAAGCTCTCACACAAACGCAAAAACTTGCCGAAAAGTACGTAAAAGGGTAAACTCAACTCTACACACAGTAAACAGTAATTAATTAGCTGACAGAGAGCCTAGAGGAGCTCTGCTACTGTGCGCGAGCGAGACGGGCGCACAATTTAATCACGTCTCACGTCAGTTGTCGGCGTTCAGTGGGTGGAGAGAGTGAACAACGGTAACAAAAAGAATAAGAAGCAAAAGTAATCAACACGCAGCGCTGTCGACAAACACACACGCGAAACGAACACAGTCATACTGCGTCGACTGCGTTGCGCCGTCGCTTAACGCAAATCGAATCAAAATTGCCGTCGCCAAAACGCGGGCTTCGTGTTAACGAACGTTTGTCGGCTCTCGTCAAAAAACAACAAAAACAACAAAGTCAGCAGCAAGCAGAGCAGCAACCAGCAGCCCCAGCATCCAAGCACCAGAGCAAGCAGCGCCAGCAACAGTCCGCGCAGCAGACAAAACGAAACGTGCGCGTCGCTGCCGTCGCGCTTTGAACTTCATTTTTTTTGTATCAATCAATGGTAGAAGGGGGTGCTGCGAGAAAACGCACCCGACGACGCGACGCGACGCGTCTGATTCTTGACTGAATCAGAGTGACAGCCCCCACCCCTCCCACTCAACTCAACCGAACAACAACACAGCACACAACAGAGGGCCATCAGCATCGCAGCGCAGCAGCAGAGCCGAAGAAGCGCGGCGCGAGGCAAAGCAGTGGCAGGCCGACAGCAGAAGCGGCAGCAGAATTCATTCGAATTCGGACTCTCAAACGAGTAACGACGAGGAATCCGTAACTCGGAACACACTCATACACGCACATTCACATACAATACATCTCGTATACGTACACGCGACGCGTGTTTCCCAGAATATAACAGTAATATTACAACCAACAGGAGCAGCGAGCGAAATAAAGGAGAAAAATAAGAATTTTTAACGCCATTCAAGCCACAAGAAATATTCAAATATGCAAGTGTGATACGAAAAGTAATAATAATTAGGATTATTTTTGAAGAAAGCGAGTCCTACCATCATATCTAGTCAAAAATTGAGTTGAAAGTTCATCAAACATGAAATGCGCTTCGAATGTTTAATCAAGACTGAGAAAAACACAGAAGCACAACTCAAACAAAATTATTCAACAACTACAACAAATGGTTCAACAAAGTATACGTAAAAAACAAACCACAAAAACAACTACGACTACAAATTATTATACCCCACAAATATATTTATTAAACTAAAAATTAAAACATAATAAAAACTACAACAATATATATACTAATATATTTAACAATATTTTGCTCTCAACAAAATTAAAACAAAATAATGTAAAAATCAACAAACCCCAACAAAAAACCTTAACGAAGTATACGACTCGATGCAATTATTAAATTAAATTAAAAAAAAAAAAAATTTAACATAGATTTTTGTCTGCCATACGATATAGAATATTAAAAATAATTATATATATATATCGGAAAATCCAACAAAGTTATACGCTACAACAAAACGAATTCTATACAAAAAACGTACCAAGTGCAAAATAAATAAAAAAAACCAAAACCAAAATTTATGAATATTGTGTCAAATTAATAATAAGTTCTCTAACAAAATCGTCAAAATTCAACAAAATCTCAACATGTTGCATGAGGCATTGATGCTCGAGATCTACAGACAGGCGCTAAATGCCGGGTAAGTGTTTTTCATTAAGTATGTTATGTTAGGAATAATATATCGGAGAGGTTTGGATAGTTATGGAATATGGAAATGTTTCAGGAAGATAGGGTTTGTGGTTAAGAAGTGTGTGATTTCTTTAATAGTTTGGTTAACAGTTGATCCAGAAAACTGTGAGGAAAGACAATCAATAGATAGCTGGAGAAAGCATATGGAAACTATTTAGTGGATAATTGAACCAATAAAACAATGAGTTCTATTGACGAATTGGCATTTCGAAAATATTGGAAAACTTCTATTGAAGTTCCAGTCCGCTTCTGACGGGAGTAAATAATTTGAACATACAGAAATATTTTAATATATAGACAGATTTCTTTAAAGAGCAAGTTACATTAAATTGCAGAGAGATCTATATTTTTGTTTTATCTAAACTGATATATTATATGGCAATAATCGTTTCTGAAACAGTTTAAAAGTCAAAAAGTACATCCAACTTCTAAATAATATCGTAAATCATTTCGTGTTGATTTGCGGAACGTTGTTTCTGACCCCTTTAAATTTTAGAGCCTAAAAGTGATTTGAATGAAGAACAAAAGTTCTAATAAACTATAATTAGATGCATTTAGATGATGGTGAATAGCTAGAGATAACAATTATAGCAATACAATTTTGTACTTTGGCACTTGGAAGTATTACTCTACAAAATTTTCCATACTTTCAAACTTTAGGAACTCGAATTTTTTCTAAATATGTTGATATATCTGCAGACGCCTGTACTCTGTCTTTCTCTTTCTCTTCTTAAACACTATAGATAGATTTCCCTTATGATTACCTCACAATATGTTCACATTTTATAGCCGCACTCTTTCACAAATATAGAACTAAAACTGTCTCCTAACCATCTGAACGCTTTTAATCAAATGAGCGACCTCTCTTCCATTTCGCCTCTTCATCAGTGAGGCAAGAATTCTGATTTTTGATAGCCAATGGCCCACAAATATATATTCATCATACAATGCAAGCAATGATTATTTCATCAAAAGAGTTCCACAGAACATTGATGATTGGCGTCCTCGTAGTTGTCGTCGACTACGTCGCACACCTGTCGTTATAAATTCATCCCCACGCCAATATTAGAGGCCCGCCATATATCAGGGGCACATACCCCACCCCCGCACACACAGCGTGAGCAACAGTTCTGTTTTCAAAAATGTATTTATTTATACTCAGAAACACAACTCAGAAATCCCGAACCCCACAAAACCCAGAACCCCGAGAAGAACAATAAGTTTTATAAAGTTGTAAAATAGGAAAAATTTCAATTGTAATCGCACTGCTGTGATACGATTGGGGGGTTAGTAGGGGTAGGCGATAAATATTAAACAACAAAATTATATTGTCTAGATTCCAAAATGATCTATCTTTTGGGCGGCTATTAATTCTCGCTGCTGTGTGTGTGTCTGAAAATTATGATTAAACAAGTTTCGAGATACAACTGAAAACGGGTTTTCCATGGGCGAATGGTTACTCTGGTTATGGTTAGTTAGTCTGTGTGTGTGTGTACGTGTTGCATCTGTGACATTACTAATAAAGTCCGACAAATTGTCTGATTTTGCTGTGTGCCGCGACTGTGAGCTATACAAGTTTGCAAAATTAGATATACATAGTTTTTCGCCTGCTTTTCGCCTACTTTGTAGATGTCAGGCGCGGTGTGGAATGGTGGCTGAGAAAATGTGTTCAAGATATTACCAAGGCGATGACGTTCCAGAAATTTTTGAATAAATCATGCAAAAAGTGAAGAGAAACTCACGGATCACGCCCTGGTTGCTATCTTCCTCAATTGGGTGGGTGCCTGTATCTCTATCTTTGCCACTTTGCCCCTCCCTACCTCTCTCCCTGTCTCTATCTCCCACTTCGTATCTGTAGCTTTGTGTGTGTCTGCCTATTACCGGGAAGATTTATGTTCACAATTTGGCGCTGATTAGTGCGTGGTGCAGTGTGTGTTCGTGTGTGTATATGTATCTGTGTGTACAAATATTCACTTTTTGTACCTTTAACGGATTAGTCATGTTTTTAGTGCACCACCGTGCATTACAGAAGTGTAGGAATGTGTATATAAACGATTGATATCAGCCTCAAATCATTTCATATTTATTGAATTAAGTCTGCTTGCTCAAGCTTTAATACATTTAAGCCTGTAATTAATCGATTACTTATAGCATTAAATGTCGTTAAAAAAGAATTCTTAAATTTTACCACACCTAACACCTGCAAAGAGGACAGCTATCATCTCTCTCATAAAATTTCAGCATTCTTCTCGCATAGAAGTAATGCCTTTACGCACTGTATCCTATTGCTTGCACCTGATATGCTGGCATATATATGTATGCAGATCTCTCTATCTCTTTCTTCCACTCGCTTATTAATGAGACAATTCCAACCTGTAATTAACTGCACTCGCGAGAGAAGTTGCGTATAAATCATTTGTGATATATGTAAGCTTAATCGAATAACGAGATTTCCGATTATGATATGCCCTTGCTTTGAGATAACTTGTTGCAAAAAAAAACAGCCAAGCTTTATGGTTTTGACTGCTGCTATAATATGCTTTTGTATGCGGGCCTAATTGTAGAATGCAATCTGGGTGGATGGCTAATTAGCTGTGAGCGATCGGTGGGTAATAAGTATCTGCATCTATGATGTGCTGCCATAAACGACTGTGGCTTTAAGCCATTCGTAAGCACGTACAGGTGCACCCCTACCCTATTCATGAATCATACCTTAAACACCGAACCCATCAATATTGCATATAGACTGGGTCTCCAGTGTTCGTTTTGCTGTGTGTACTATCCATCAATTAGGCAACTTTTGACAAACCTTCGTTTTCGTTTCGAACAACTTAATTCCCGTTAAATAAGTATTTTTTTGAGCGATCGCTTCTTAGACAATAGAATATAAATGACAAATTGTTGACAACACCCAAGCAACATAAATTCTGCTCAGAACTATCTATATATATTTTTTAAATAATATTTTGTTCATTCAAATCAAATCACACTAACGCACCATTTGTTCAGTGATCTCCGCCATAAAGCAGTCGTAAAAGTCAGTATCTGCAGACGCCCACACACACACACACACAGATACTTTATATACAATGTATACACATACATAGTGCCTAATCATCAAAGAATTGATAAGCATTTGGCATATACACTTCAAAGTCAATCAAGGCAATCATTCAAAGACTCACACAAAATTATGTTTTTCAATAAAAATCGTAAATTAACAAAAATTAAAAATGTGGTACCATTTTCGCTGATCACTAGGAAATCAAATTCTATATGTTTTCCTTACGTTTTTTGTGTTTCTTATTTTTGTTGAGCTGCCATAAAAGTTTGTGGCCAATTAATTTATGCAAACTGATATGCGGAGTGTGTGTGTTTGTTTACTGCCCGGCAACCCAAGCAGATGATGATAATTGCCGCAGATCTCAGATCTTATGATTATGATCATCTTGGGTCGGTCTTTCGTCTCTTTTCTGTGTGTCTGCTCATAACTCATGCCTTAAATCTCGAATTAAACGCCATTGTTCCAATATAGACTTTTACGACCCCTTAGAGCACAGCGCCGAAAGAGCAGCCCAGCAGTGTTTGTTGAGCGAGGGAGGGGACGTTTTGAGGGAGTGGAATGTATATTAGAAAGGGATAGACAGCCAGAGGTGGAACGTAAGGCCACTGGAGGGGTGAAAGATGGACAGTGGAACGTGCAATGAAGTAGGTTGGGGGGGTCGGGGACATGGTGAAATAAATATGGTGAAACATTAAGCTGTGTACGTGAAGCTGCAATGGAGGTGAGTCCAAGGGAAGTGGAACGTCTAGCAGCAGGAAACAGATGGAACCTAGAACAAAGTTAGAGGTACGAACGGGCAGAGCAACGTATGTATATCAGCAGGGACAGGCCCAGATAAAACACACAGCTGTGGTCTAAAATGATGGATGCATTTTGGTTTATGGCGCTTTTTGAGATTTGAATAACAAATCGAAATGTTGACATATGTTTGGCATTCTTACCATTGTTGTTGTCGTTGTTCCTGCTTAGTTAGTTAGTTTTCGGAGGCTTATGATTTAGCGCAAAATATAAAGGTTTTTGAAGGTGGTTGGGCAGGGGTAAGCGAAAGAGGGGCTATAAAACAGATTTCCAATATTTCTACTTTTTATTGCTTATCCAATTTAAAAATGTATATTTTTTTACGGACTTAAAAAAACGATGTCTTTGAAAGTCTTTACATGGCTAAGAGGAGAAAGCTTTGGTAATCGTTTTTTGCATGTGGTTTGATGGATGAATGATAACATCTTAATGAGAAGATGAAAATCTTTAAGTTAGTAGATAATATATGAAAAAATACCCAAATTGCATCTAAAATTGTTTTCGTAAGCCTGAAAATAGTTTAAAAAAGAGAGATAAATGATTTATTATCATTCAAACACTCGAAGAAACATTTATAGTAATTCTAAATGTAAAATTCTAAAAAGTAAAATATTATAAATAATAAATGCATTTTCCTCTTACTTTACAGCGCCCTGCCCACAGCTCGTCCGCGTTCCACGGAATCGGCAAATTCCAGCGAGCGGTGTCCCTCGCACGAATCCAATTCCTCGGAAAATGGGGGACATCGTGGGGATCCAAGTGGGGGTGTGATGCCACCCACATCCATGCACTCGACATTCCCGGCCGTGCCGCAAAACCTGCCCGCCCAGCCGCCTTCCATGGAGGCGTATCTGCATATGGTGGCAGCAGCCGCACAGCAATACGGTTTTCCCCTGGCTGCAGCAGCGGCGGCAGGACCACGGCTACCTCTACCCATGGCCAATGAGGCGACGCCACCGTTTAAGCTGCCACCGCAGGCATCTCCCACGGCATCCAGCAATCACTCGGAGGCGCTGGACTTTCGCACAAATCTTTATGGTCGCGCAGAGTCCGCAGAGCCGCTAGCGTCCGAGGAGGAGGAGGATTTCGATGATGGGGCCAACAATCCACTGGATCTCTCCGTGGGCACACGGAAACGCGGCCACGACGCCGAGCCACAGCTGGGCCACATTCAGGTGAAGAAAATGTTCAAATCGGAAAGTCCACCGGCGAGTTCTTTACCTGCGGCAGCGCCCACTGCCAGCCAATTGATGCCTGGAGTGAATCCCTATCTGGCGGCTGTGGCTGCTGCCAATATCTTCCGATCTGGACAGTTTCCCGATTGGAATGGCAAAAACGATCTGGTGGTGGATCCGCTGGAAAAGATGTCGGACATTGTCAAGGGCGGAGCACAGGGACACAAGGATAAACTTCAACATCATCACCATCAATCGAAGGCCACCCCGCCCGACAAGGCAGCTCCGCCAAAGAGTCCCGCACATCAGCAGCAGCAACAAAAACAGCAACAACAACAACAACAGCAGCAGCAGCAGGGATCCAATAACAGCCAAAATTCCGAGGGAGGATCTACAGGAGCAGGAGGAGCAGCTATAGGTGCCTCTGCTGGTGGTGGTGCTGGCATCACCAAGGCCCGCCACAACATTTGGCAATCCCATTGGCAAAACAAGGGCGTGGCCAGCTCCGTGTTCCGCTGTGTGTGGTGCAAGCAGAGCTTCCCCACACTCGAAGCTTTGACCACCCACATGAAGGACAGCAAACATTGCGGGGTAAATGTGCCACCGTTTGGTAATCTGCCCAGCAACAATCCGCCTCAGCATCACCAGCAGCACCATCATTCGGGGGCACAGCAGCAACAACAGCAGAACCACCAGAATATGCGCAAACAGACAAACGCGAATCATTCGCCCTCGGCGAATGTGAAGAATGCGTTCCAGTATCGCGGAGATCCCCCAACGCCCCTGCCCCGAAAGTTGGTGCGCGGCCAGAATGTGTGGCTTGGAAAGGGCGTTGAGCAGGCCATGCAAATCCTCAAGTGCATGCGGTGTGGCGAGAGCTTCCGTTCGCTCGGGGAGATGACCAAACACATGCAGGAGACGCAGCACTACACGAATATCCTCTCGCAGGAGCAAAACATCTCCATCAAGTCACAGAATCAAGCGAATGCAAATTCAGACTCCAAGGACAACCAAAACAACAGCCTCAGCTCCGAGGAGAGTCGCACACTCAGCGCCGTGCTCACGTGCAAGGTGTGTGACAAGGCCTTCAACAGTCTGGGCGATCTCAGCAATCACATGGCCAAAAACAATCACTATGCCGAGCCACTGCTCCAAAATGCTGGTGGACGAAAGCGTCCCGCGCCCAAGAAGCGTGAGAAATCGCTGCCAGTGAGGAAACTGCTCGAAATGAAGGGTGGTGGAGGGGCCAACCAAGATGATTTGGCAGCGGAAAAGTCAGCGGTGCAGGGAAAACCAGGCCTAGGTCCAGGTGGTGGCGATAAAAACGATGCGGCACTTTTTGCCGAGCGCATGCGTCAGTATATAACGGGTGTCAAATCTCCGGAGGAGATTGCCAAAGTGGCTGCCGCTCAGCTGTTGGCCAAAAACAAATCCCCCGAGCTGCTGGAGCAAAAGAATGGAAATGCCAAGCCCGGTAATTCATCAGTACTGAGTGCCATTGAGCAGATGTTTACCACCAGCTTTGATACACCTCCGCGGCATGCTAGCCTGCCGGCGAGCAGTCCTTCCAATTCGTCCACAAAGAACACCTCCCCAGTGGCCAGCAGCATCCTGAAGCGGCTCGGCATTGATGAGACGGTGGACTACAATAAGCCATTGATTGACACCAGTGATCCGTACTATCAGCATTATCGGTACACGAGCAGCGAGCGCAGTGGCAGCGAGTGCAGCGCGGAGGCGGCAAGGCCTCGTTTGGATGCACCAACGCCCGAGAAGCAGCAGCAACAGCAACAGACGATGATGGCCACAGAGGAGATTGCTGGCAGGCCTAATATCAAGCAGGAGGAAGCCATCAAAATGGAGATCAAGTCTGAGATCAATGACGAGCAGAACGATGAGACGGCCATGCCATCGCCCAAAATGGAGGCCACACTGGTCAATGGCAGCTACTCTACCCCCACCAACTCCTCCTCGGTCGCTGCAGGCAATAACAATAGCAACAGCAACAACAACAATGTGGAACGAGCTTCACCCAAGACACCCTCGGTGGCAGGGAGTCCACAGTCGAGGCTGCTGCCACCGCGTAGTCCCTCGGAAAGCCAACGTTCGGCTACACCCAAGTCACCAGCCTCCAGTCACAAGTCCTACGATGGCAGCGAGGGCAACAAAAAGTATCCTAGTGACTCCTTGAATGCTTTATCCTCAATGTTTGACTCCTTGGGCGCCAGCGGAGGCGGTGCGGCGGCCAATACGAGAGCCAAGCTGGCCGCTGCAGCGGCAGCGGTCGCTGGGGGAGTCCTGCCCGTGGCTGGTGGCAGCGATTCGCCAGAAAATTTAAGCGCCAGCAACTCGCTGGCCGCCTTACGACAGTTCTGCGTGAAGAAGGAGAAGACCGCTTAAGCGCTGGTGCTTCTCGGCCGCAAACCGGACCGTTCCGTCAAACGCTCTCGTTAGCCTCGTTTTTTCGTTGTTTTCGCGCAAACAAAAAGTAATTTCAAACAAGTTTTTTTGGTTTTGCCTGCGCGTTGCCCACACGCCAACCTCCCCACAACAAACTCCCATGCATTTTTTGGACTTTTTTGTGTTGGGGAGGTACTTCGGCAACCATTCAGAGAGAGAGAGAAGAGAAGGGAGATGCCAGAGTCAAAGGCACTTCCACTTGGACGAAACTTTGACTAGAGATAAAAGGACACCACCGAGATATGGAAAGATATATATTCGGGATCATAAAACGATTATAATGAAAATAATGAATGAAAAGAAGGAGAACTCGATCCAGATTCCCCGCAGTAGTTGCCGCGCATTCTACTCCTCCGCTATGGCGACGAGGCCCCGCGCATTCAGCAAGCTCTAAGGCGTACTTTTTCAAGGTAATTATTCAAGCACTTTTAATGAATTAAGGATTAACCAATAGCAAAGATTATAGAACACAAATGAGAGGAGAACAAGAGGGAATGGGTTAAAGGTTTTGGAAGAGACGGAGAGCATTAGCTGTTGGTGAAAAGGAACGTATGAAAATACAAGAAACTGATACGAAGCTATGTAAATTTAGTGAGTGGGGCGAGAGCATAAGTGGAACGTTCAAGCATGGAACAAAGAATAACGAAGCAGGCTTAAATGATGCGAGTGAATGCGTAATCTTTTCCGACAAAAATGTATTCCATAATCTTTGATATATGTAATATCCCATCTATAACCTTTTTCCCCATGAAAACTCTTAACTAAAACCCCGATTCTCTTCTCTTCATTGCAGAATATATACAACTTGGGATCCTTGAAAAACTATGACTTGTCATGGCTGATCTATTGGTGGGTTTTTTTGTTTGTTGATAGAGAAAAACCACACACAAGCCCTTGTCAGGGCTGCCACATCTCTCTGCAAAGAGTTATGAAATTTGAAAAAAAGAAAACATTGTGATCCAATAAAAAAAACATAAATGAAAAACATTTTTATGAACATTACAAGCGGATTATTTATTTTTCAAAGCATTGTGAGGGATAATCTTTCTTTCAAGTGGAATTTCAGGTGATGCATCAACGTTTCTTCTTGTTTTGTTTCGTGTTGCAAATTTTGCAAATTGGTTTGGGTGCAGTCTTCTCGGGTATGGGTGTGGGTGGCTTGGCCGAGAGCAGAGATGTCAGCATGTCGCTGAGGTCTGGCAAATTGTTGGGTACCTTGGGAAATTGCAAATTTTCCAGCTCGCGCTTCGTTTGGGGATCACGTATGATGCGGGGCACAATCATGAGCATCAGGACGGGCGCCAGCATAATCAGGAACATGGGATTAAGGATAAAGTCCACGAAACGCCACTGTTCGCGTTCCGTAAAGTATTTGCGACGCTTCGCTGCCGGCAGTCGCAGTGGATAGGCAATCTGTGAGATGGTGCCCGGCTCCACATAGCTCAACGCTCGAACCCTATACTTGCCCTTCGCATTGATCTCCACTCGCACGGGACGGAAGTAAATGTCCGGATGGTAGACCTCCACAACATGACTGCCGTAGGGCACTCCGCTGATCACAAAGCGTCCATCGGTGCGCACGAATCCCTTGTACTGCCCACCATTGATGGACAACGTGATTTCCGACAGCCAGCGGTGGTTCAATCCCAAGTTAAGATTTGGTGGTAAGATATAACCTTCAATGGTATACAGCGGCGTGGCAATGGCAACATCATTTTTCACTGGAACCACCACATCAGCAAAAACAAAAGCCAAATAGAAGCTCAATACAAACAAAATAATTTTAAACATTTTGGAAGGCGTTTTTTAAAAGTTTAGCCACAAAAAGTTTACTTTTTGGACGGAAAAAAAGATTCCTTGGGCGGTAAAGATGAAAATTTCAAAAGAGAATTGAGAAAATATTATTTTGTATTATATACCTTTCATTTGAGAAGCTACGAATCCTACGAGATTCTAGAAATGTTGACTATACATTTAGATCTGTGAGTACGTGATGGAGTTTTAGGGAAATATATTTAAGGAATCTTTTTATACCCGGTACTCGAAGAGAAGTGGATGTATGTAACACACAAGGAAATGTCTCCGACCCCTAAAGTATATGTATATATTCTTGATCAGCATCAATAGCCGTTTCGATATGGTCATGTATGTCTTTCCGTCCGTCTTGTTGAGCGCCTGGCTCTCAGAGACTTTAAAAGCTAGAGCCAGCAAATTTTGCATCCAGATGGCTGTATGCTCCCACAATGCATTTCAAAATTTCGACCCGCCCCTTTCGCCTCCGCAATGGTCGAAATACTGCTGTATCCACAATTTTGAAGATAAAAGACAACTAACGAGAAGGGACGTGTGAGGCGCTTTTTACACGTCACCATTACTCAGTAGTACATCTGTACCTTAGTGGTTTTTTCAAATCTAAAATTTTTCCTTTTTTCTACATTTGTCATATACATCTACATCACTTGACATGCCAACGCGCTCTTTTAGCTCGCCCCTTCCCCAAGAGCCGGACACTTCACGAAGCAGAGTGTGGAATGAGAGAATATGCAAAAAATAAAAAAGGTGTTTAACGGTGTTAGGGTTGCTAATAATTAATTTATATATGAAATGTGTAAAAATAAATTTAAAAATCGATCCTTCGAGAGATCTTCCCATAGATCGCAGAGAAATCTCTCTGTGATTTCCAGAAACTACAAATGCAAATTTACATACATTCCTCTTTTCTTAAATCATCCTCTTAACCATCGCCTTTCAAAAACTTCCTTATCGCCACCGAAGAGCCAAAAATCTTCTTAAAAAACACAAATTACCGACGGCAAAACCACATTTTCCACAGTGAACGATCGCACGATCGTTCGCATTTTATAACGCAACATTTGTTGCATCTCCAGACGCCAAGAGATGAGAGTAGTGAATCACTGCAGCCCTACTCCCTCTCTCCTGCGGCAGACTTCTCTTCTATGGGAAGAGAGTCGTGACCAAGGCGACTTTTGCTCAACCATCAGACACTGCCGCACACACAGGAGACATTATATGGAATGTATGCTTGCGGTCTAAGAGAGAAGAGGCAGGGCCAGGCCAGGCACGGCCAGGCCAGGCAGGGCCAGGCCAGGCAGAGCAGCCAGGCATGAAGTGGCTGCCACAAATTTGCACTTTTTGATGAACGTTTTGTGGCTTCTGCTTCTGTGTCGCGGGAATCACGACACCCCAAACGATGGTGCATCGATGGTAATTTTTTCGCAGCAAGTATCTGCTCAAATTATCCTCTCAACAAGTGTTCAAAAACGGTATCTGGGGGCATGTGCAAACAATTTTCCAGTATAATTTGACTTTTCTGTAGAGTATGGGGCTACCAGGGGCCTGCATGGTATCGTCGTAATCGTCGTGTTCATCGTTTGATTTAGCGCCAGCCTCGTATTGAGAAGAATCTTGATCAGTTATTTGTGTTTACATTTTCCCCAAAACGGAGCGCCTCTCAGCCGATCGAGACCTGCCAATAAACAGAGTTGTTGTATTTGTGTGGATATTTCAATTTTTTTTAGCTGTATCTGGTGCTCCACTCAATTGACAGCAGCGCATGCGCATGGTGGAGAGCTTCTGTCTACGGCTAGATGTATATAAGTTGCTATGAAGCGTTGAATGGTGAATAATTGCCCGTGATTAAAGCTGCAAAATGTGTGCAAAAAAAAAATAAAATAAATGAAAGAATATCGATTTGGAGTCTGGCACTTTAAATGAAGATCGATATGGTGGAACAGTCAATGGGAAAAGTGGAAATAATTGCAGGAAATGTCTAGAAAAGTATAGGGAAAAAATGTTAAAGGTGTTTTCGGTTAGTCCATTCTCGAAATTCTCAAAAATAGTACACAAAAAACATGAATGTAATGTGCTTCGAAAATTATTAATGGAATTCCTATAACAGGATGGCAAAATTTCAATCCATAAAACCTAAAAAATGAAACCTTTTATGCTCCATACCATCTTCCATAGAACCCAACAATTATCTCTCTGAGCTTCTTATTCCCTATAAAACTAACCTGATCCAACACACAACAAAGTGTTACACCTTATCAAAGCAGGGTTCTTCCATAAAAGTTCTCTATAAATAATACCAAATCTAATCTGAAAGCAAAAAAGAAAACCAGGGTGCTGGGTACCAGGCAAAAATATCAAAACCATTCAGTAAATCAATCAAACCAAAAATTGATAGCTTATGACTGATTTATGAATATAAAAGAGTCATGTTCAAATCATAAATCCCACAGTCATCGGATAGGAAGAGAGAGTACCACCATACTTATGGATTATCCCTCCACTATCGCTATAATGTCCGGGCATTATTCATCGTTTTTTTTTTCATAATAAAGCAATTTGAACGATTGCAAGATAATCGTTTAATGGCTGATATGCGAACACAGAGATTTACTGTATAGCTGTTTGTGGTTCGATCGATCGGTCTGATGGCTATCGCTTTATCGCCAGAGAACCAGAACACTATCTGCAGTAAATCAATACACATAAAACCCCACACCTAAAATACTTCTCTTGAAGACCCTTCATAACTGATTTGCTAGGAATTGTTCGTTGTTTTTTTGCGGAACAGCAGAGGTCATAAATTTCTCGAAAACCTTTTTGATTTATGCAGAAAAAACAGGGAGAGCTGCTTTTAAATATTCATGCGTGATATTTGTCGCAGCGACAGGGATCGGTATCGAAATCGGATCGGTTTCAGCGGCGAATTCAACGATCAATTGTTTGAGCAAAAAAAAAAAAGAAAACAGTAAAAAGCAAAATCCAATCGAAACCCAATGTCAGTCTCAGGCAAAACAATTGTTTAGGAAGAACACAACACAATGGGTCATTTAGGAGTGGTCTGTGGCTCGATCCCCAGCTTCTGTGACAACCCAACAAGTATTGCACGATCCTTGGGGATGATGATGCCCCATCCTGCTGGTATGGGTATCCTTCTGTTCCGGCTGCTGCTTGAGTGATTTATATAGTTTGTGTCAATTCCTGAAATTATTGGGCCCAAACGCAAAAATCGTTCTCAATGTTCGTGTTTCTGGTTTCAGAACTTTCGTGATGACATCTCCCCTGCATATGTTAACACATTTTCAGATTCCTCTAAACGATCAGATCAGTTCTGCAGAAGATGCTAGGAAGGAATCCCTGTTTTCGGGTTAAGGTTGAGATGTTTCCTTCTGAGTCATGATCTTTGGGAATTTGATTGCGAAGATGAAGTTGGAGAGGAAATAATTAGCATATTTAAAGGAACTTTAACTCGATTCTCCAAGTCACGAGTCTTAAATCAGCGTCCCACTGCCATTTCTACTTTCCTTTCGCTGGAAACATTTTTCTCACTCTGAAATTCGTTACCAATGCTAAAGACATATTCTCATAAGCTTAAAAAAACTTTTAATTAAAGGAATTGCTGCTGGAAATACTTGAGCCAATTCTAGATATGGTCTTGTGGCACAACATTGACGATGATGAGGCAGGTACAGACAGACAGGCAGGCCAGGCAGGCAGCAGTCCAGAGAGGCAGGCATTCAGGCAGCCAGACGACCACTAGATGGAAGTGGCAGTGGAATGGCATGGAGGCTGGGGCAGGCACATTTAAAACAAGTTCAAGATGCAAACAATGGATCATTATCCAGATACAAAAAACTAAAACAAAAAGAGAACAAAAGAGCAGAGAAGAGAAGAACGAACGCAGTAGAGCCAAGAAGAGCGAAGAAACAGATACAATCGACCGCAATCGAAACGGCATTCCCATAGGTTACATTGCAACGAAGCGGCGATGCCACAAACATCGTCCAAAGGGGGCACAAGTGGCAGACACAGTGAGCGAGCGGGACAGCAAGCGATAGTGCAACA